AGCCAGAGTACACAGGAATAGCTGGTGAGGTCAGCAGACGAGTTACAATAACACGTTAAAGATGCTGAAGTTACATGATCATGCATTGACAAACTGATCCACTCAGACTGTCCCGCTGGAGAATGTCTGTGGTTTTATGGCAGTGTAGCTTCAGGAGCGTGTGGTCAGGCTGCATCATCCCGGCCTCCTCGGCTACAGGGACTTGTGGGTAATCAATTTTTAATGCACGGCCCTATGCTTTATTTAATCGTGTTCTATTCTAAGAGAAGCTCTCTGGTGCGACCCTTGGGGAGTATGTGAGATGGGACGGAGGGGAGAAAAAGAAACTGACAGTTGAGTTATTTATTTATTTTGCCATGGAGTCGGATTGCTTAATGCTAGCAGCATTGCCATGCCAGTTAAGCCAGCTTAATGAGACCAGCACAGGACTGGAACTGGTGTGAACAATAAACACCATCCAGTGACCCTGCCAGCTTAATCACACTGACTCCAGCACAGTCAATATGAGCTCCATTTGACTGTATATTGACAGTGGAGATGGACAGTGCAGTGATGAAAACTCAGTAGGAGAACACAGAACACGCTGAATCCTCGGTGGGAATGAAGAGAGACTGGAGGAGAGGTGGATTATGGGATAGAGCGCAGGAGAAAACACCCTGTGGGTACTTATGGAAAGAGAGAAGGGAAAATGCTTTCATCTTAACCCTTGAGGATAACTAAGTACTGTTAAATAAGTCCCAGGAAAACTTTCTTGCACACATACATTCACAGACACACTTAAAGCTGTCATTTTGATGGAAAACATAAGTGTTGGTATTGTGATTACTGACATTTATTATTTATACTTATTTATTTATTATTTTTATTTATAGTGGTTGCTAGGTGTCTTTTCATTTCTGCATTTATCATTCGCCTAGCAAAAATTACAAGTCCAAAAAATAAGTATTCTATTCTATTTGATTTAGTCCAATCATGAAAAAGTGATAGCAACGAGCTGCATTCTATTCTATTCTATTCTATTTTATTCTATTTAGTCCAATCATGAAAAAGTAATAGCAACAAGCTGCATTCTATTCTATTCTATTCTGTGTTTGATTTAGTCCAATTATAAAAACGTGATAGCAACAAGTTCTATTCTATTCTATTCTGTGTTTGATTTAGTCCAATTATGAAAAAGTGATAGCAACAAATTTTATTCTATGAAAATGTGATAGTAACAAGTTGCAATCTATTCTATTCTATTTAGTCTGATCATGAAAAATTAATAGCATCAAGCTGCATTCTATTCTATTCTGTTCTATTCTATTCTGTGTTTGATTTAGTCCAATTATGAAAAAGTGATAGCAACAAATTTTATTCTATGAAAATGTGATAGTAGCAAGTTGCAATCTATTCTATTCTATTCTATTCTGGTCTGTTCTGTTTGATTTAGTCCAATCATGGCAAAAGTGGTATAAACAAGTTGAATTCTATTCTATTCTATTCTGTTGTGTTTGATTTAGTCCAATCATGAACAAATGATAGCATCAACTGGCATTCTATTCTATTCTCTGATTGATTTAAGTGTATATTTAAAAGTGGCACATTTAAAAGTGGTTTCTAACCATCTGTGCTTTGTATTTGCAGGCCTGAGCTGCACGACGCTGCTTCCCCCTCGGCGAGGTTCTTTCTATGTAGAGAAGGGCACTGGGATGACTGTGGGCACGGTGTTGGTGTTCTGGTGCCTCGAGGGGTACCAGCTGGTGGGCAGCGAGGAGATCACCTGTGTCCTACGTAGCGACACCGCTCAGTGGAGCAACTACCCACCCGACTGTGAGGGTCTGTGTTCACTGCCATCATTTCTGTTTTAAGAGATAAAAACACCTAAGAAATGCACTCCTGCTAATTAAATCCCAGATTTTCAATGTGGACTATTGTGTAAATATGGTAGCCATTCCCAAACCAGAGGACCGCGGACTGAGAGTGGCTGTACTGGCATCGGTAGTGAGCAGCATCATCATCCTCGCCATGTCCGTGTCCTTCATCATCTGCTGCCTGCAGGAGCGCATGAGCAAAGAGAGGGCAGAACGGACAGACGGACGGGGCAGGTATGCACATCTGGGGAGGAAGAGACAAGGGAGTTTAAAATAGGCAAAGAGGATGCTAATGATTTCTCTGAGTTTCCAGGACGAGAGACAAGTGCAAATCATCCTGGAGGAATGAGTGCTGGCTGGAGAGAGATGAAGGAGACTGGGAAGCTTTTCATCCACCTAAAATTTACAGTCTTTCCCAGCACCTTGACCCCCATCTGACCCCTGAGAGCCCGGTCTATATGGGGGGACTGGCTAGTTATGATAACCATGGGTATCAGAGGTGAGAAACTGTGCAGTTTTAAATTTGCTTGATTGTGTTTACATGTGAAATTAATCGATTAAATCACACAAAAATAAAAATTCTGGCACTATTTAAGAGGAAATAAAGTTTTCTATTTTATCCTCTTTTAAACTGACTTTCTCTGAATTCTGAGTTTGTAATTTTTTATTTTTTTGCTTCCGCCACAAAATAAAAAATTAAAAAGGTAATTTTTATCCCACAATTCTGACTTTTTCTCTTGCAATTGCAAGTTTGTCGCAATTCTGACTTTTCTTTGTATCTTTAAATATAAATATTATATATAAATGTATATCTTGCAATTCTGCGTTTGTATCTCACAATTCTGAGTTTAAATCTTACAATTCAGCATTTATATCTAGTAATTCTGCATTTTTCACAATTCTGCATTTGTATCTCACAATTCTGCATTTATATCTTACAATTCAGCTTTATTTATATCTCACAGTTCTGTATTTATACCTTGCAGTTAACAATCTTCCATAGTAAACAGTAGTGCAGCTTAATATTTTTGTGGAAACTGTTATGCATTTTTTTTTTCAGGATTCTTTGCTGAATGTTCAAAAAAACAGCATTTATTTGAAATAGAAATCTTTTGTAATATTACTAATGTCTTTACTGTCACTTTTGATCAATTTAATGTACCCATGCTCAATAAAAACATAAATTTCTTTTTTTTAAATGCTATGTTTGTTTTGCAGAAGTCAGGAAAACCTCCTGAAAGCTCCTCTTCCTGGTCTTTACCGTACAGAAAGTCAGATGTACCCGCATGTGGTCCTGCAGAGGGTTCCCACACCCACAGTGCCGACTGCACCCAGCGCGCCCGTCTACCTCCGCCTCTCCACCCCTCCGCCCGCAGAAAGCCCCGGCGAACAGTCTGCTCTGCCGCCGTACCCCAGCGCCACTCCACAGCGTCTGTGGCCATAGAAACACACTTTTATTCAGAACTTTTACAACTGTCGCCATGGCGACAGATTACGACCCCTACATGCAAACGGCTCCTGGGGTTCAGAAACCCAAGAGAAATGATGGACTCAAGTTAGAGCCACCTAGATCACTACACACCGCTAGATCTAGATGTTGGACCATGTGTGGGTCCAAATGTAGTTACATTTAGTATGTTGCATATGTAAGGACATTTCTGAATGACTCTAAGGAGGCCCGTTGTGTAGTTTCTTGGAGAGGAAAGTTACATTAGGAGAGGTGAGGACTCCATACTGGTACTGTGATCCACTCCAGGTTTTATTATTGTCAGTTAGTACTTTTTATTTTTGTGGTAAAGGTTCTGACTTGCAGTCATAAAATGAAAAAATGCAACTGTGTCATGTCACATTAGAGCATCGGTTTAATATTTCTATGTTTTTTGTAGTATAGAAGTGTAGGAGAATTACACTGACGTCCAGATTATGGACAGACATTGGGATCTCATAAACCTATGATGCTTCAAACTTGATTTTGTTTATAACAAATAAAAATATTAAAATAAATGTGTATTTTTTATTGCCCACAATGTCTCACCATATCATACACACACACAATTACTTGAAAAAAAATTTATATATATAAATGTATACATATGGTTTCACAGATAAGTCCTATTCACATGAAAATGTTTAATCTTAGGATCTGACTTTCTGGGTCCAGTGAGTCAAACTGACCTACTTGAGTTTGAGCTTTCTACTTAGCTGACCTAATCAGATGAGCTTTGGCATGTTCACAGTGTTTTATCTGTCTATTGCAGCATATGTAGGAAACAACGCTGTGAAGGAAAACAGGATGATGAAATCAAGGTGATGGATTGGCAGCAGTAAATTTAGCGGTGACTGAATGACTGGGTTTTACAGATTTTGTTGCAATGAACAGTAGATTGCCTTTTATTATTTACAGTACATTATATATAAGTTATAAAATTGTTCTGTTTAAAATGACTGTTGTTATGCTATAGACTCCATATGAGGGCAGTGGTGTTTTTACACATTAAATTATGCATGAGAATGCCGTAATGATGAGAGGCATAATGTCTAACAGTTTAGTTAACAGCTCCCAGATTAACTAGCACGACTTCAATAAGAAATGGAAGCATCTTCTCAAGTAAACCGACTCGTCTTTACGTCCACAAGGTGGCGATCATTTCAGCATGCATTTCACTCATAAAACACACATCTCTTACATTAAACCAATCTTTCCTCCTCAAATTAAAATAAAATAATACACATTATATTTTTCTACATTATTATACAATATATATTAGGGCTAAAATTCTTGTCTGATTTACTCACCCGCATATCTTTCCAAACCCGTATGATTTCCCCCCTGAAACACAAAAGCAGACGTTTAGCAGAATGCTCTTTTTAATGAAAGTGGAAGGTCACTCCAAAAAAAAAAAAAAAAAATCCAAGCACCAAACACCAAAATAAATTACTCCATACGACTTTCACGCTATATTACAAGTCGATTATAACTCATTTTGTCCTTTTCATCAGCTATAACGTTTAATATTCATTTGTTTTTTACGTTTATAGCATATCTTTTGTTATTGTTGCATGCTGTATACCTCTCATAACAAAGAGCCAAGCCATGCTGCACTATTTATAAGGGCGGCTGCGCATGCGCAACGAGAGCGCCGCTCCTCTCCAACTGACATGAGTTAAACACGCACAGAGAGCGAGAATAGAATACACCTGGCAGCCGAGCGACACAGCAGGGAATCAGTGAATGTAGAAATGACTTCTGCGTGGTGTTTAATATGACAGCGCGCGCGGGATATGGGAAGAAGTAGGGTGTGTGTGGTGTTGAAGGTGACATTCCCATGGCCAGAACCAGCGCGGACGGGCTGCTCCGTCAGAACAACAGCAAACTGGACTCTTTCCTCAAAAGAAACACCAGTCGGGATGTGTACGAGCGGATCCGGGTCTACGAGCCGTGTGTGGTGGTCTCGGGGTCGGTGAAGAAGGTTTTCATGCATGTGATCCTGAGCGATGAGCGCGTGTATCTGAGCGAGTATCACCCGCGCGCGCTGCGCGAGGCGCTCAGCTTCAGACACATCAAGAGCATCGAGCTGGTGAGATTAAGGGGGGGGGGGGGGAAATGAAATTTAAAATGTATATTTGTGTAGTTACATTATGCTCATTTCTAAAAATGTATTATTATAATTTTTTTTTTTTGGTAAGAAATACTCTGTGGGAGCGATCTCCTTCTTCAGTCATCACAAATGATTGGAAAAGTCATGAAAAATCATAGAATGAATCAATGAATCATAGTCATATCATATAACTATTAATGATTCTGATTGATTATTGATGATCAGACGTTATTAAACGGTCATTCATCCCCACATCAAGCGGCTTACACTGATGTAATTAGGTCAATGTTAGACAGTGAGCATACAGATCTCTGTCTTTCCTCACAGATCAATGATTTGCCTGATTTCCTCAGCGGACAGGATCGTGAACGCTCACTGCATATCCGTGTTGTTCATACCACAAAGAATCCTGGGAAAAAGAGCTCAAGACCCAAAGGATCCGGTCAGAATAAGCCATCATTTCCAGGACGCAACTCGAGTGCCCGTCATTCGCTGGAGGGTAAAAAAGCTATTTAATTCAATCACAAGTTCACAAGCTGTTCTTGACTAGTATTAGAGGGCCAGAACTGAGTGCATTTTTCCCTGGACAGTGTGATGTAAAGCAGGTATGTGTGTTAATCCATGAGCTCTTCCAGCTGTGGGGATGAAGCAGCAGTACTGACACCCGTCTAACCAACATTGACGTGCATGTGTGTGTCAGCTGTGAGTTTTGTGTTCATCTTCACACTTCTGTAGATTTAGTGAACGGCAGTGCAGGAAAGCTACTTAACCAGTGCCGGATAAACAGCTGAACCAGGTTATCTGTGTATCATCATTTGAGTTCATCTGTGAATGGAGAGGATTCACTCATTGACAAGTTTGCTCTATTACTGTAGCCGGTCAATTACAGATATATCTGTATAAATTGCAGTTATGGACTGAAAAAAAAAATGAATGTGACAATGCTGTTTTAAAATGAAGGCTAGATTGAAACACCATTATGATTTTTTTAAGTAGATTTAGATTTCCTGAGCAACACCAAGGTCATGGGTTCGACTCCCACAAAAAGCAACAACGGATAACATGTAAATGTGCAGAATAAAAGCATCCACCAAATGCATAAATGTCGATGTAGATAATTTCATGAAGACTTCAGCTTATCATCTCAAATAAACCTGAACTTGAAAGAATTGTGTTTTGTGATCCTGCAGGCGTGAGTCCCGAGTCCTCGAGCTGGAGAATCTCTCCCACATCAATGAGGTAAAGCCCTCTCAGTGTTAACGGCCTCACGTTCACCCAACACAACCGCTGTGAGCCATTCAAAGTGCTTTATCTCCACCTCGCAGCTTTTTACTGCCTCTGACTCCACAATGCTCAGAACGAACAGACTCGGTTTTGAAGACTCGCTTGCTTAGCAACTCAAGCTATTAAACAAAGCAGTGCGATAATAAATGCAGAGATATTCTGAATCCCACAGCTCTGTATCTCACGGGACGAGTGTGTGTTGTGCTTCGTTGCTTAGAAACTAAATTGATTAAGTTCTTGTCTGTGTTATAAGATATCAATAACGATGGTGGGCGATACATAATATATTCAAAGGTCATCAAGCTGAATTGTTTAACATGCATTGGCATCATAAAAAATGTGTCTTGGAGTTTTATCCAGTGACATGCAAAAGAAAGCATTCATCTAACAGATCAAAAAATCAACTTTTAGTGACTTTTTATATTTTATTGCACTAGTTTAGAGTGGTAAGAAATTAAGAAGAAAATGATATAAAATGTAAAATATGTTTACTATTTATGCTTTTTCATTTAGTTTGCATTTATTTTATGAAAATCCTATTTTCAGTAACTTTATAATTGTCATTTGCAAAAAGCATGTTGCTCTCTGAAATGCTGCAACGCGAGCATCTGAAGAAGAAATGAGGAGCGGAGAGAGGTCGTGTTACATATGCATGTTTAATGAACGCAGATAAAAGAAAGACGGATCTTGTAAACTGGAAACCACTCACAGTTTATTAAGTGTTGTGTATGTGGTTTCATGCTGATTTTCAGGTCATATAATTACTATATAATTTTTGCTGTTTTTGTGCTAATAACACTTCAGTCACTTGTATTCATTAGTGTTATTTGAATATTATCAGGGTTATTATAATTTACTTAAAACTAAAACCATAAAAACCCTTGTCACTTCTAAAATAAATTCAATTTTAACTGAAAAATCAATTAAAATGTAAAACAATATGTATATTTAAGCTTTTTATTTTATTTTCAACATTTCTCATTTTCAAGTTGACGTACAACAATAACTAAAACCAAGACTGAAATAATAATTAAATAATTAATAAAAAAAACTATATGGACGTGTTAAAAAACAAAAACCAATAAAAATGTCAAAAATGCAAAATTAACTAAAATTAAAATGAAAACAGAAAATCAAAAGATAAAAAATGAACTCAAAATATTAATAAAAACTGTAACATTTAATTAATTTTAGTTTTTCTTTTGTCATTTTTTATCAGCTTTAGTTTTATTTCTGTTTGAGTTTTGTACTGTTTCCATTTAGTTTAAGTTTTTATCTAGTATTTACATTTGATTGTATTAGTTATAGTTTTAGTTAATGATAACAACACATATATTCATAACGAAAGCTGGAAAATTTGAATGCTGAAAACCACTTGGTTTCCAAAACTGAGATCAGCTGCAAACACGATGTGCTGTCATGTATTTTACGCTGTTGACAGTCATGACTTTACTGCGGTGAGCAGAGGAGGAGGATTGGCGTCATTCACACTGTTGCCAGGGCACGAGATGAGACGGAAACCTTGAGCAATAAATGTCCAATTAAAAGACCCTGTTTGGCTCAGCAAAACACTGCAGCTTGACGTTCTGAACGACATGTGTTTGTGTTGGAGCTGCCAGCCATCAGACGTCTCTGAGACTGTTCTGAGAACAGTGTGAACCAGAGATTTCTCTCAGTAGCGCTGTAATGTTTATAGAGGAGCAGTGAGTCGAAGCCGACCCGAGGGAGACCATTAGTTCACGTTTAGCACATATTTGTGAGCGCTTGCCATTGAGGAGTAAACCACATGGGAAGTGCTTTAAACATTATTTAAAGCCAGCTTTTCCACAGTTTAACTATCAGTTGAAGGCTTTGTTGAATCGGTGGTGTGCGGTTGTACACACGGTCTGTGAGCATTTTTCAGACATCAGTATGAGAACGAAAAGTAGGTCAGTGCACCTAAAAAAAAGTTTGTGGCCATTTCCACTGGGGAAATTGTGAGAAGGTTGAGGCGTATGGAAAGAGTTTCTCTTTATCCTGCATGCTATTAGAGGAGATTGAAAAGGGAGGTTGATGATGGCACGTGAACGACCTTGTCTGGCATCCAAACAGTGAAGTTTCGAACTGTCCGAAAGAACCGGTTCGCGGAAAAGAACCGAACTTCCCATCACTAGAAGTTCTGTGCCGCTGAACATGTCGCTCATCAGCGCCTCCTCATGGAAATGTTCTGTCAGTGCAACTAGAGTGCAGTGTTGCAACAAGTTGCTTTTATGCTTTATCAAAGGCCCTATTTAATTATACAGTTCAGAGGAGCTCTTTGAAGACACCTATTTACATTATAAACAGATCTGTCTTAGATCAGTTTATTAGAAAGATCGTGACAAGGAAAAATAATTTTCTACAGTAGATTTAAACCTTGTTGAGAGTTTGAGGACTTGAACACATGTGTGGCCAAAATTTAAACCTCAAATTAAACTTAAACACATTTTTATTATTTATTTTATTTTATTATTTTAATGCAATATATTATAGTTTGTATTATAGTTTTTATTAATATTTTAATTAGTTTTTTATGCTTTCCATTAAAATTTTCATTTTAGTGAAAGTTTTAGTAATTTTGTTGTGTTTTTGTTATTTTTAATAGTTTTTTTATGTCTATTTAATTTTTTAAGAATTTTTTTATTTCAGTTTTAGTATTATTTTAGCACATAAAATTAAACTAAATAAAAATGAGTAATGTTTCCTTGTCAACTAGTTGAAATAAAATAAATTAAATTTTTTAAATATTTAATTTTATTTCAATTAAGGTTTATTTTATTTCCAGTAACCAATGTTTTTATGATTTTTGTTAACTATAATAACCCTGCTTGCCATGTGATAAATATTAATAACATTATTAATTTAAATATTAATGATTATTATTTATAATACTCTTAATATAATATTAATGCTTAAAAACTGTTTCCCTACTTTTTAATCTAAAATAAAATATTATTAATAATAAAATATAATAATAATAATAATAGTTTTTTTCTTTGCTGTGCTTTTAAGACAGTCTTAAACGGATAGTTCACTCAAAAATGATAATTCTGTCATCAATTACCTTTATGAGTTTTTTTTCTTCTGCTGAACATAAAAGAAGATATTTTGAAGAATGTGGGGAAGCAAACAGTTTCTGGTCCCCATTGACTTCCATAGCATTTTTTTCCGTACAGTGGAAGTCAACAGCTACCGGCAACTGTTTGTTCACTAACATTCTTCAGAATATCTTCTTTTGTGTTTAGCAGAAGAATGAAACTCATACAGGTTTGGAACAACATGTGGGTGAGTAAATTATGAGAGAAATGTCATTTTTGGGTGAACTATCCCTTTAAGATGTTAATCATGTTTGACTTGCTCTAAAAATACATATATATGTTTGTCTGTTATAGTGATGGTGGTCTGGAGGAAGAAGAAGGCAGCATCATTCCGAAGAGACGTTCAGCTTCCTGTCCGAACTCGGATGTTTTGGCTCTGGCTGTGTTTAATACGTCTCCCGCTCACTCCTCCAGCTCCAGTGACCAGCGAGAGAGTCCCAGCGCTTCAGTCCCGACAGCACTGATGAGGAGAACAACAACAGAGGAGCAGGAGGAGGAGAAAGAGGAAGAGTTACACCTTTATGCGGTATCTCCATCATCCCGAATATACCTTCACCTGCAGAGCTCCTGGAGCAGCTGCATCATAGTATGTGTTCGTGGTCGTAGACAGACAGTTTCTACTCGCTTTGTGTTTAATGGTCAACATTCATTTTGGTATGTTGATCATTTTACAGAGAAAGTAATTGCATTTGTTGCATATTGTAAGTAAATACATTTTAAATAGAAGTCTATGCAAGGCACTGCAATGGTATAAAGGTTGAAACTGAAAGGCTAAAATAAAATACTTTTACTGTTTAGTGATAATGTTAAAAAGCTGCTAAAAAGAAGACTTACAGATAAAAAAAAAACACATTTGTGTCACAAATAAGGACATAAAATGATTATATATTTGTTTTTTATATATTTAAGTTTTTAACACATGAATAATATATTATTATTAACAATAATAATTAATTATTTTAAATGTTAAATATTTTAAAACAAAATTTATTCCCTTTTTTTTAAATGAATAAAATATTATTCATAATATAAAATAAAGTACAATAAAAATATTATTATCTTAACTTTTGTTTTTAATCTTATATCACTTTGGGGTTTGCCACGATATATCATTAATTTATTATTATTAATAATTATTATTAACAATAATAATTAATTATTTTAAATGTTAAATATTTTAAAACAAAATTTATTCCCTTTTTTTTAAATGAATAAAATATTATTCATAATATAAAATAAAGTACAATAAAAATATTATTATCTTAACTTTTGTTTTTAATCTTATATCACTTTGGGGTTTGCTACGATATATCATTAATTTATTATTATTAATAATTTAATATTAATAATTAAAAACAAAACTGCTTCCCTTATTTTTTTTAAATAAAAAAAATTAATATTGTTCATAATACAATATAAAATAAATTGAGAAGACGTATATTGCAGTCTTTTGACTTTTTTCGTCTTCTTTATTATACACCTTAATTTGCCCTACTAAAAATATCTTTAATGGTATAAAGGTTGAAATAAATACGCACTGTGTTGAAAGCGCTAAAGTACTGCTAAAAGGATTATTTTGACTGCTTTACAGATCAAAAAGCACATTTTTGTATGGCCGAGTAAACTTAAATGTTTTAATAAACATATAAGCTGTACATTTTCACTTTAAAACCCTCTGAAATTTTTTTTATTATTATTTTTTTATTTTCTTTTTTTTTTTTTTTTAGCGATCAACTTTGATGCTGGACCCAGTGTACAGGAAGAGATGTGGCGTATCCTCTTCTTCTCCTCAGAAACAGAAATATCACAGAATCAGGTACTGCATCTTTCTGTCTGAACAGCTTGTGTTTATCTGTGTGGGCAGTGTAAAATGCACAGGCTATGAAAGCGTCTGCGTATGTGTTTCCAGCTGGGAACGGACGTGTCACTTGTTCAGTCAGTTGAGCGGAGAGCTGCTGCAGGAAGACGTCGGCCTGGAGAGTCTGTATTTACTCCTGCAGGAGCTGCACACAGCCACGAACCGCAACCCCACCATCAAAAAACTCTTCTGGAGGGTAACATGCAGCTGTGTAACATGCACTCTTCATCCAAAAATGAACATTTCCCTCTCAAAGTCCTTTTTATTTGCTCCTCAGTCACCGGACCTCTATCCTTTCCTGGTGAAAACGCTGGCTGAAAGCTTTCAGAGCGGCCAGGAAGCAGTTCATACAGCCGACAGACTTCTGTAAGCCTGCAAATCATGCACATATAACTTATGCATGAGCTACCCAGGAAACATTCTCACAACTTTCACTAATGTTTTTTAAAAGTTATAGACATGTTAGGACAAAACGTTCGTAACGTAATGTTTATGGAATGTTCTTATAACTTCAGCGTTGAGAGAAAACATTCTGAGATCAACGTTTTCGGAACGTTCCTATGATGTTATTTGAATTTGATGATTATTCAAACATTTTCATAACGTTTAAATAACGTTCTAATCGTGACAAACTGGAGATTTCAATGTTTTTAGAATATTAAAAGTAAACATTCTACTAAATTTTATTTTTACCCAAAATATAACATTATTTGAACGTTTAAGATCTAATCACGATGAGTAATGGACATTTGATCGTTCTTAGAATATTATAAATAAATGTTCAAATAATGTTATATTTTGGGTGAAAATAAAGTTGGAACGTTGTGAGAAACGTTTTTGTAACCTTTAAATAACATTATAATCAACAAGAAAACCAGACATTTTCACGTTTTTAGAATAATAAAAATAAAAGTTATATTTTGGGTAAAGAAACATTTTAGTCACCTTTAAATAACACTCTAATCACAACAAGAAAAACTGGACATTACAAATAATATTACAAATAAACGTTCAAGTAACGTCATATTTTGGGTGAAAGTAAAGTTAGTAGAACGTTGTAAGAAATGTTTTATAAAACGGATAGTTCCGGTCCTTGATTCTGATTGGCTGAGCCGCGTTCTAAGCTGTTGTAAATTACTCTACAAAGTACAAAACATACACTTTTGTTTACTTTTTGTGTTGCTCAGCAACCACTTTGTTGCAACCACAACTGTTTCTGAGGAACTATGTTGTTTGGTGGAAGAATACTGTTTTTATTAATCCCATTACACTTTATTTGCTCTGTTTTATTTTGTGAAACCTAACTACGTATATGGAATAACCGTTTTATAAAAGCAATAAGCCCCGTGAAGCCGTGGTTTACAGTGAATTTATAACAGCTAAGGGGGTTTTTGTTTAACAGTAACAATGCCCCTTAGCTGTTATAAATTCACTGTAAACCACGGCTTCTTATGGAAAAACAGACATTTCAGTCTCGTAACAAGCTAAACGCTCCGTGTTTATAAGTTCTTCATAATGTTCTCAGGTTGACATTTTACTACTTCAAACCCATCCCAAGCACATTTTCATGATCATTGCTGAAGGCTTTCTGTAATATGTGCAGTCTGAGGACAAAAACAAAGATATCGCTCTGTCCTGCAGGCTTTGCACTTTGGTGGTTCAGATATTAAGCCTGATGTTCAGGGAAACAGAGATGGAAGCGACGAGGCTCAGCATGCTGACGGCCAAACAGTGAGTGATTCTACCTCTCCAGTAATAATACCACTGCACTCATTACAGCTTATTTCAATGAGAAATGCCTGCTGTTTGACACAGGGGAGCTCTCACAGAGAACATGCTGCTCGCTTTAGTGCGTGATCCAGATCTCCAGCTGCCAGACTCTACTAATGGCTCCAAATCTTCAGTTAATAAGGTATTAAATATATTCCTTAATGGAAAAATTAATTTTTTTGTTATCATACACTCACCCTCGCTTCCCAGGTGTAAGGAAAATATGTTATTTTTTTATTTTTTTTTTCCATTCATGTCTTGTTTATGATCAATTCATTTGTGCTAATTAAATGTAATTTATGATGATGAAGTGTATTTGTGCATCGCAGCTGCAGCGTCTGCAGGCAGACTATTTGGATGCGGCTTCTGCGCTGCTGTTTGAGATGGTTGTGCTCTGTCAGGAGGTGAGTAGCATTTTCTCATGCATGTATGTATGTGTATATATATATATATATATATATATATGTATATATATGTATATGTATGTATACACCACACACACACATGTTGGCATATGTGGTTTATGGGGACTTTCCGTAGGCATAATGGTTTTAAGGCACAGGCATAATACTGTACAAACTGTATTTTCTATCCCCTATAAAATAACTGTTTTCTATTTAAATATATTTTAAAATGTAATTTATTCCTGTGATGCAAAGCTGAATTTTCAGAATCATTGTGCAGTCTTCGATGTCGCATGATACTTCAGAAATCATAATATACTGTTTTGCTGCTTAATATTTTTTGCAGAAACCGTGATATAGTACCGTTCAAAAATTTGGGATAATATGTTGTCGGTATAATATGTAAAAAAAAACTAAAATTAAACAAAGAGACATTAAATTGATCAAAAATGAAAGTGAAGACATGTATAATATTGCAAAATATTTCTATTTCAAATAAATGTTGTTCTTTTGAACCGTCTATTCATCAAAAAACATTAAGTGCAGTTTCCACAAAACGTTTTTACCAGAAAAACACAATGATAATAATAAGAACCATTATTAATAATTGAGCACCAATATTAACTGAGCAGCAAATCAGCATATTAGAATGATTTCTGAAGGATCATGTGACACTGAAGACTGGAGTAATGATGCTGAAAATTCAGCTTTGCATAACAGAAATAAATTACATTTTAAAATATATTCAAATAGAAAACAGTTATTTTAAACTAATAATATTTCACAATATTAGAGCTTTTACTGGATTTTTTTATCAAATAAATGCAGCGTTGGTGAGCAGAAGAGACTTATATTTTAATAATTCTATTTTTATATATAAATAATAATAAATAATTATTATTAATCATAATTATACTTTTGACCAGTAGTGTATTATTTATGCATATGCATGTATAACACTGATCAGCTTTACACGTCTCATTTGTGGTTCAAAGGCTAGTTGCACACCTGCTCTGGGACATTTCCTTACCATCGGCTGGGTGTTTCGATTGCTTAAACCACATCCATTCTTAGTAAGTATATACCCATTTCATTTTCATGCATATTTGCATGAATCCACATGATTAGATTCCACATCAGAACGAATGTTTGGACGTATGTCCTGCTCGCTCTTTCGCAGCTCCCGTTTGTGGGCTATCAGGCCCAGCAGGTGGTTCGGCTTCTCTCAGGTCCTCAGGATCCGCTCAGCCCGTCTCAGGCGGTTCTTCTGTACCAGCGCTGCCGTGTTTTGTTAGCCTGTCTGCAGCACAGCACCTGTTTGAGCAAATATATCAGGACGGGGTTCAAGGAGGAGTTCAGGTTCCTCATGAGGTTCAAATAATTGCAAGGCTAAGGCAGAGCTGTCATATTTTGGATTATAATATCCTCTGTTTTTATAGGTACTATGTGAAGATGTCAGGGCTGGAGGACAAACTGCCCCATCACTACCCCATCAGTCAGCCTGCCCGGCGCCTTCTTTCCCAGCTCCACAGTCTCGTTCTCCAGAAACCTTGAGCTCTGGCTCTTTTTCTTTCTGTTCCTCAGGCATTGAATTTCTTGTTTCTGCAGACAGACGTGGGAATATGCCTTTGGATGAATATGCTGCACTTTCAGATTGAATTCAAGTCTTGTATTGTGTCTTACTGTGTGTTGAACAGAGACTGCAAATATGCCTTTGGATGAATATGCTGCACTTTCAGATTGAATTCAAGTCTTGTATTGTGTCTTTGTTGAACAGAGACTGCGGGATTTTATTCTGTTTAGCATATCGCCTTTGTCTACACTCAGGATTATTATCACTGTAATATGTGTTACATGTCAAACATCACAGAACAGATGATATATTGAACTATTTATTAAATATGAATATACCGGTACATTAAATAGACTGATATCAAATTGCACTTTTCAGTTAACAAATTCAGGTTTGGCAGGTCACTCTTATATGAGACTGATCACAGTATTATGATATGAATACATTTACTGTAGCTTAAGCCACTGGTACAGATGCACTTGCTTATTTTGGTTGGTTTTTGTTTGGATGCACTTTTTCTCTATAAGACTGTACTGATTTTCAGGAACTCTATGTACCTCAAGGCCTCAAATTAAACATAACAAATATTTTAAATAAACATTTGTGTGTCTGTGAGATTTTTATAAACCTAATTGTTGAATGGGTGTTTTTGTATATGCAATAAATAAACTGCAAGTGTATATAAATGCAGCATTTGCAGTGCACACACACACACATAAATTGACACAATTACAGCTTGACTGGAAATGTCTCAATGAAAATATTAAGTGATATTTACCCTGTTTTTGTGTGTGTCACGGTGAGTTTCTGATGCAAAAGCCCTTAAGGTGGTCAAAAATAAAAATGCCATAAAACTTAATAATAGACAACTATGACTTACAAAGAAAGCCCTAGACCTTTAATTGTATTTATTTATTTGATTTTGTATATCTATTTTATACACCTGACCCTGCTGTCAAAATGCAAGGAGTTAATTTACTTGCCAAGTCCAATCCAACAAACTATGAATTGATATAAATTATTTTAACACAATGCTTTTTGTGCTTTGTCTTTATTTACCTTATTGTTTAGATCATAATCATTTCAAATATGCAATAATTTTTTTTTTATGGATTTCATTTTTTTTTTATTGAACATTTGGGTCTGGGGCAATAAAACTGTTCATTTTAATGTGACATTCATAAACAGATATGACCTTCATATAGCAAAGAGTCTATACACACACACACAGCGCGCGCGCGCAATATAAACAACTTTTTTTAGAATGCCCACAGCTGAAGGCACGTACTGTATGTATAACTGAACAAAATCGCGATTTTCTGATTATGACAGGAGTCACGTTACAGAACGGGAACGAACGCTCGGTCGCTTTTGTTGCTACTGGGGAATGTTTTCCAAAGCGCACCGGAAACAGCGTGGGGTTGTTGAGCATCAAGATCTTCTGAACTTGTAAGTGGAAGTTAATCTTTACATTTGTCTTCTAAATAAACTGCGAAGACCATATCGATTATAAATCGTCGCTGTAACGCGCTCAATCACTATTACACGCGTCTTCTAAACGTGATTAGTTGATGTAACGTTAAGTGAATGGCGGGAGATTAACGTGTTTCGTCATTGGATTTGCTGTAAGTAGTTACAGAACAAATCTTAAATAACTAATTAAATATTCAATATGACACTTTAATGAACTATACATGAACGTGAGATAATAACATTGCATCATTTATTGAAAAAAAGTTCATTTTGAGATGTTAACATGTTTTTACCTTGAACTACATCTTGGCAGTCTTTATAAGTAAGTTAGATGGTTAAGAATAAAGCAAATAGTCTATTTTTCAACTTTACTTTTCTGTAATTCTTTTCATATATATTTATTTATTTATTTAGTCATTTAGCAGACGCTTTTATCCAAAGCGACTTACAAATGAGGACAACAGAAGCAATCAATTGTAGTATTAAAACAACTAAAAACAGATCCAAAACTAAAAGACTATAAAAAACTATATATTATGCTTATAGTACTCTGATAAGGTCATTTTCTTTTATAGTGTGAATGACCTGTCAGCAAACGTCTTCCTCATCATCCTCAGAGTAGAGAAGATGTTGAGAAATGCCTCCGCACAGGTAACCAAACAACACGCAGAAGTGTTTTATGTATTATTATAGGCTGACTGTTTTTATTCTGTCCTCACAGATACTTAAAGAGTTCGTCCGACACAGGACTACAGATGCAAGTCTGATCTTGGAGAGATGTGAGTGTCTGTCAGTCGTTGTATGCACTGGCTTTTGTGTGACATGTTTGATAATGTCCTTCATCACTGCTTTGTCTCTTCACAGCTATTAACCGGGTGCAGCTTCTTGGGCGAGTGGGACAGGACCCCGTCATGAGTGTTATTGCTCTTGTTGTCACTACTGTTAATAATATATATTATTCTATTTTATAATAGGATTAATAACAACAATAATAATAGCACTCTATAATACAGTAGAATAATAATTAATATTATCGAATACGTGTACCGTTACACCCCTAATATATATATATATATATATATATATACTTTTTTGATATACAGAATGTTTAGGATTTATCCTTGTGAAGGGTGTAAAAATAGATCCTTTTTGTGTTAATTGGCTAAATATTATTATGTAATTAATAATGTTATTTTTGTGGTTACTTATTGTTTTTTATATTTTGTTTTCTGCATAAATTAAAATAACATAAAAAAAAAAAGTATCTGTGTTCTCCTTGAACATATGATACATGATTAAAAATAAGTTGTTAAACGAAGAGATAATGTTAAAGTATGTGGGTGACAAAATAATTCTAGATTTTCCAATATGCTTTTACAGAAATTAAAATTGTTTACGATTTTTTTTTTTACCCCACTGAAAATTGTCATCTTGGTGCAAATATTTGGTCAAAAAAAGAGATTTTTTTTTTTTCCTGAATTTTTCCTTATTCAAAGATCTTAATAACTATGAAATGTGTTTTTTATTTTTTTGCAGGAGATGTCAGCCAGAAAACAACATGGCACAGAATTTCAGTATTCAAACCAGGCCTCAGAGATGTGGCGTATCAGTATGTAAAGAAAGGGTATGTTCCATATTTGTTTTGGAGCCATTTATAGATACAGTGGGTACGGAAAGTATTCAGACCCCCTTAAATTTTTCACTCTTTGTTATATTGCAGCCATTTGCTAAAATCATTTATTTTTTAATAAATCTGCAAAAATGTCAACAATTCTGTGTTTTTCTGTCAATATGGGGTGCTGTGTGTACATTAATGAGGAAAAAAAATTAACTTAAATGATTTTAGCAAATGGCTGCAATATAACAAAGAGTGAAAAATGTAAGGGGGTCTGAATACTTTCCGTACCCACTGTATATAAAAAAAAAAAACATACTGCTGTTAACCTAGAATCAACCTTATTTTCAGGTCTCGGATTCTTGTGGAAGGAAAGCTCGACTATGGAGAGTACATGGATAAAAACAACGTCAGGCGACAGGCAACAACTATCATCGCAGGTCAGACTTCACCACAGACTTTACATGTCTTAACTGCTTATGTTTTATGTTTTACTTTTGCTTTAATAGTTCAAATTTACCAAGTATCATTTGTCTCTTTCCACAGATAATATTGTGTTTTTAAGTGAAAATCTGCGAGACCAGTAATGAAGACGCCTTCCCAGACTTTAGGAACCAAAAGAAGATATTTTATATAGTGTTACTCTGCTCACTGACATTAAACTCTGTGTATCATTGTGTCTGGCCTTCACTGTCACACATAGACATAAGAAGTCATGTTGTTTGTATGATTGTGTCATGCTGTCTTTCCCCGACAGAGGGACAGAAAGCACTTTGACATGTAAACACATTTCCAGAGCCATGCACTGGATCAGACTCTATGTATAAGCAGAAATGCGAAATTTCCCCTTTTTTTTGGACTTAAAAGCATCATATTTGAAGTTATGTCTAACCAAATCACTTCCAGTTTGTTGTAATGTCATACTAATGTTCATGAATAAATGTAATAGTTTGTCAGTAAAGGATTTGTTATGAATGTTACTTAAAATGTACAAGATTTGTAAAACACCTGGTTTCAGAAACTTGTCAAGAGTTAGCTTTTGAAACCGAGAGAACAGTAGTTTCATTTCTTCCTTTTGTTTTTCACTCGTTTCCATTTGTTTGTGCGCATTTTACCCATCGTGTTAGTCGTTCAGTTGCAGTTTTGAATCAGTTTTTCTTAGCCTCCAGACTATGCACTTTTAAATGAGAGTAAGTTCACTTTTTCATGGTATTTAACCACAGCAAAAATCTATTGACAGAAATATGAGTTAAGGCGGTGCAGAGTTTGGTACTCTTGGCTTTGGGTTTGTTAAGAGATAATGCGGAGTCACCTTTAATTGGAGCAATTTCACGTCAATCATACAATAGCGATCTCCTATTGGTCAGATGGGCTGTCAGTCTTCCGTGAATTTCGTGAGCTTTAAACGTAACAGCTAATCTGATTGGCCGCCGCACGGATTCCAGGGGCGGGGCATATGATCGAATAGTTTAGCATTTTAAGGAACATTTATGCGTAGTGTTTACAAACACCATAGCAAAATATAAACTCCTTGAAAAGCGCATATGATAATATCTGAAAGTATCACAGTCCACAAACAGTCCTTTGTAAACAAATTTCGCAACTCCCATAATTTCCCCGCCCCGAATTCCTGCCTGAGAGAAGGGAGAAGGGGCGACATTTCTCAAGGAAGCTGAGAGGAAAGTTCCGACAACACTGGCGACAGACGCGCAACATATACCCAATTTTGCGCTGACAGTACAAAATTCACTCCGAATAGCGATCTGAAGAGTTATTTGACGGATACGCTGACAAATAGTCGTTTGTGGAGTCTTTGAAACGACGCTGCGCGTGACGCTTTACTACAGACGCAGATCAAGCAATGGAAATAATGGATAGCGGGGAAACGTTTTTACAATGGGACAAAAATCTCAGCGAACTGTCCGAAGCCGGGGATAGCGACATTTTATACAGCACTGTAAGTAGGAATCTTCTTATAATGCCGTGGCACCATTGCCATCTGAACATAAACCGTCATCGCGTGTTTTGATGTGTTGCAACTGGTGTCAGATCATCCAGAATGCATTTAAATGCCTCTAAACGTAATCATCACCTACATTTAATTATAAAAAGCTTTTATTTGACTTGGTCGTGCACGACACTCTGTCAGATTACTAGGGTTCCACTTGGCTCCAAGGGATAAAGTTCAGATGGTGCAGTCATCCAGTGATTGTATCATGCTTATGCAGTGCCACACAAAGCAATGCAGATAAGTTTGGCCCATTTGGATGAAGTCAGAGTATAGTGAAGAGCTGTTGCAGGTTATGTAATAATAGGTTTGTGTTCCAACTTCTGCTCAAAGGGGCCTCTACTTGCTGACTAATTAGGGGGTTCACTGTTGGGTAATTGGTGCATTACCCATGTACTTTTTTGTACAACAGAGACTTTTGGTTAAAATGTACGTGAATGCATAAGGGAAAGTGTATTTTTGGTCTCATGTTTGTAACCATTTTTAAGTCCTTTTTTTCCCTTATGCTTAATGCCAAATTTACACTGCAAAGGTGGCACAGATGCGCTTCTGAAGTGGTATTTAGGTGTCTTTACACACAGACTGTTTAATGCTGCTCAGAGGTGGAATGAATGCATTTACACACATACACATATAGCTCTATGCTTTGATACTAGGGCCTGAATGCTGTTTAAAATGCAGCATTGCAAGTCACACCACAGAACTTGTCTCCTAAATGTATGATCCTCATAGATGAACGGCACATCGAGTGAAGTTCATTCCAGATGTGTGGTACATTACGAGCGGTTTCTAAGCTGAGATCCCAATTAAATTACCAGACACGGCACGTAACGCCTTTCCAGACAGCATCAAAGCCAGCGTTGGAGGTGCAGCAGTTCGGTGTGTCTGGGATTCATAACCCGACAGTATCAGGGCGGTAACGTACACTTCCAGGAGAACTATATATGCATTGTGAAGGTTGTGAATGGTTCATATTCTCCTTCACCTTTAGAGCAGAATGGGGTCTTTGTTTAAGGGCCCCATCGGCCCCATCGGCCCCCTCTGAACACACACGCTCCCCCACCTCATGGGTCTGTATGTGCCGGTTCTCCTCACTTTTACTTTCACTCCCCAGGGTTTGTTGACATGGAATTCCACACAACAATGCAAACTGTTCTCAGTTGGAGAGAATATAGCTTGCTTTGTGGGTTCAGCCTGTTGCATATGCATGTTGCATCTAGACTGTTTTCCTTCTGCATTATGATTCAACTGCATTGCCATTGCATGCTGGTTGACTTTCAAAATTGAGTTTGTGGCATTCCAGGTGAATAAGGGTAAAATTTAACCAGTAGAGATCTTCATACTTCCCCAGTTGACTGTTTTCATTAAGAAATGCAAACTTTTTTTGTATTGCAAGTTTTCAGAAATGTTGTTTCAAAATGCAAATGGGGCATTATTATCTAATAAAATATGCATAAATTTCCAGAACAAAAATCTGAAGATTGGATAAAGACAGGTTTAAAATTCTTTTTGTTGATGTTAGTGTTTTTTTTTTTTTTTTTACACAGGGGATTTTTGATATTTCTGTTTTTATCATTATCAGAAAATGCTGTCAACAGCTAGAAAAAAGTACATTTTTTACCATGTTTTTAGGAACAAAATGTTTAAAATCAGGCAAATGATGTATGAACTAACCCTCTGAATATAAATGGGAATAAAACTGTAAAGTTTATATGTAAGTGCTACTGAAGTGGATATTTCTGGCTTATAATTAATATCTACAAGATGCAAATTGCATATACAGATAAATTGCATCAAAATAAAGTGTATTTTGTTTGTTTTCTTGTCTGAAACTAGTCAAACAACACGTTATAAAAAGCCAATCAGTGCAAAATCTCAATGAAAAAAACAGTTTTTTCCTGTAGTGTCTTGACTTAATGCATATCTGGAAACAACAATCTTATTTAAGAAATGCAAACATGCCCTTTTTATGACTTAATAGGCCTAGTAATTGTCTTCCGTAACCGATATTTGCGATTATGTGTTCATTCATAGTCAAATTTCTATTGGGAAGAACTTGTGTAGAGGGTGTGTGTTCGTACCTTCCTGTATAACAGGCTTTTTTTTGCCACTTACTCTTTAACTAAAGTGTCAGCTGTCATATTTCGGGTGATTTAAACCAGTAAAAATAACCCAAGGCTCATTCCCTGCTTTAGGACGGGGGTTAAGGAGATACTGAGGGGAGCAGTTGGGCCGTCATGCTCAGCATTTCTTAGTGCTGATAATCACACTGACACGATTAGCCTGCACAGCACATTATCTCATGCAGACCGGGGCCTTGTGGCAACCAGATGTACTTTCCTGACCCATTGTGGAAACCAGAGTGAATATGAGGAAAGGCATGCGCTTCTGCACTAACCTCTACATTAGTACTTCAGTCGTAAGCCTTCAGCTAGTAGTGCATTGCTTGCATATCTTCTGTATCAGCTGATCTCATTAGTCCCAGCTGATGGTTTGATGTTATGATCAGCTGATAACACATTCAGGTCAATGACAGGATCCTTGTTTAGGGAAGCAGGGTTTCATAGAAACAACATGCATAGAAATCAATCAGCCTGATCTATTGCTGCTCAAAAAACGACCAGCATACAAAAAATGTGTCATTATGTTATATTACCAAATATTGGATTTAATCTTTTTATCAACTTGTCTTCTCTCAGTTAGCACAGGTTTTGTGTTTCTTTTTTCGAACTGATTAATTTTAGGCCTCATTGAGTTTTTAAGTGAACATTGCCAAAATTAGGTGCATAAGCAAAAGATCAATGAGGCCTATCAGTTCAAATACAAAACCTGTGCTAATTGAAAGAAAAACCAGAAGATTGAATCTGAAATTTGGTGGTAATACAGCATAATGAGATTTTGGTCATTTTTGGCCCAGAACACCAAATTAGATAAAGGGTTTCCAGCACAGAACAAGGGTTAAAGCATCAAGAAATTATATTACTTATATACTTTTCTGTTAGCTGTGGTACCATTGTCTGCATTAAAGCTAGATGGTAATCTGTCAACAGTGGTTTTCCTGAGAACTAGGTTGGGTGATATGTCGGTTTATATTGTACCACATTAGAAATGTGTCAGCTGTTAGAGAGTTTGTTATACCGGTTGCACTGCAGAACATCTTTATATTATTTACACATGACAGCCATACAGAAACATAGATTAATGTGAGAATAATTCTTGTCCCAAACAAGTCAAAACAAACGTGTTATTAAGGGGTGTAATGTGACGCAGAGTTTAGTTGTTTATTGTAATGGCAAATTTGCTGCGTTGATATACAACTGATGTGTGTTGACAAGTTGGCGTATATCAAATCACCTTCAAATGTATCTCATCAAATCATCAATTTTAGAAATTTTTGATAGTTTTAATCTTTTAATAACTGTTTTTTTACATTTATGTCAGACTTATCTATGTTTTGTTATGCATTAAATTAAGTTGTAAAGTGTTTCAATGATTATTTAACATATTAACAAGCTAAAATCCTTCATGAATAACATTATGATAAACTGCTAAGATATCAAATTACTCATACATTTTTGCATTTTTAAAGGAAGTGTGTGTGTGTATGTGTATATATATATATATTGATAGAATAAATTATTATACAATTAATTGTTTTAATTAAACAACGTAACAATGAAACAACTAAAACTGAAACAAATTCTAAAGAAACTGAAACTGAAACAAAAAACTGAAACAAAAGCATAAAAATGGAAATAATTGTTAACTGAAATAAAATAAAGTATAAAAAACATTTATTTCAGTAGTTTATCATTTAAATTTTTAGTTTAACTTGATGTGCTAAGATATCTTAACTGAAATAAATAAAAATTCTATTCTATTCTAATTAAAGAATATATATATATATATATATATATATATCAACAACAATGTAATGTGTAATTGATCTTGTT